CCATTTAGTGAACTGATAATGCCAGGAGATTGCAGTGCCTGTGTTTGTGTTTGTTTGGTCTTACTGGCTCTAGATAGAAATATACTACTCTATAAGGAGCTTATGAGAACTGAAGCTTATCTAATGTATAAGTGATGTATGGTCCCCAACAGAGGGTCAGATGTTACAGCCCGTTCTATGATGTAAATTTTGTGGTAGTTCACATTCTATTGGCTAACATTTTTAAAGCATCTTCTATATTCTAGGTAGTGTTCTAACTACTCTTCATGTATGATCATGATTTGAAATTAATATTGTGTTTTAAGAGTTTTTTGTTTTTTTAAATAAAATATATATTTTTGAAGACTAGTCAAGTGCAGTAGTGAGGATGTTTTAAGAGTTTTTAATCTTCATGTTAGACCTGTGAGGTATATGCAGTCACTATTCCTATTTTATAGATGATGGCACCAAAATTTAGAGAAGTTTGTTTTCCCAAGGTTACAGACCTAGTAAGTGTTAATTAGTTGGTTTTCATACACATTGTCTGACTCCATAGCTCCTAACCACTCTGTTATGCTGCCTCACTGCAGAGACAAGTACTTGCAGAATTGCATCACATCTGATATAATATAGGCATTCCAAAGCTCAAAAAAACATGTACATTGGTAGTGAGCACTGTATTCATGTTACAGTGTGAGATTTTGTTTCAGCAAAGCAGCATCTTTTTTCCTGTCATGTAAATGTTATTGGTTGAATGGCATTGGTTTTGTGGTTATGTGTGGATTTAATTTGTAAGATTTGCCTGTTATATTAGTTGTTGTAAGTAATGGGAGTTTTTTCCTAGTTTGTGTTTATATATATTTCAATAACATAACAGAAATATTTAAAGCTCAGATTGCAGTAGAGATGCTGATGTAAAGGATTGCTTTTAATCCTTTGGAAATCAAAGAACACTTTTATAATGCATGTGAATATGTATTGATTTATTTACTCTACAAATTCAGAGTTTCATATAAAGTGTTTGATTTCCTAAAAGTAAAACAGCACGAATTGAGGAAGCTCATTGAATTTGTTGTTTTATGATTTGGATGTACTACTCCCAATCCAGCCAGACAAGTGCTCTGGGTGACTCATTAACAATCCATAGGTAATAATATAGACAATACTTTGTAGGGTTCTTTGTCCCTTGTTCCAGATTGGAGGCTATTCTCTTGTACAGGTATAGTATGGTATCTTTATTTATGGAGGTCTCTAGATACTGTTACTACCAAAAGCATAGAGGTCTCTTAATTAGAGGAAAATGAGGTAGTAAGAAGCAAAAAGAGTTGCCTATTATTTCACTGAAATTTGTCTTGATTTAAATGAAATTATAATTCAGTTTTATAATCAGAATGAAGACTATCATTTTTCTCTCTGTAAAATTTTAATTCATCTTTGAAAAAATTCGATTTGGTAAACTTTCCTTTAGTAAATTAAATTCATTTTTATTACATGTCAAGAGATTCTATCTAGTGTGCTTTATTAATCAACTTTAAAGTAATTTTCTCTAGGGAAGAAAACCTTTTGGATTCAGGAACTATTTATTGAGCTCCTAGTGTGTACCAAGTCACTTTGCTAGTCATTGATAGTTTATTTGGTTTTCTGATAGCATTATTTAATTTTGGTACCCATTCCTGTTACCGTGTTTCCCCAAAAATAAGACCTACCCATAAAATAAGCCCTAGCAGGATTTCTAAGTATTTGCAATGTAAGCCCTACCTGGAAAAGAAGACCTAGTGATGGGCATGGCTACACAGCGTATCTGCACAACCCATGCATTTCGTTGCAGAGCAATAAAGAAGACGAGCAGCCCTTCTCATCTGCCCCATCCTGACAGCTACTATCCCAGACGTGACTGGAAAGGTACTGGCAGCCCCACCAACAAGGTCAGCTCACCCTGTCAGGTCCGGGCCATCCTATGCAGATCATTTCTGCTCCACTGTGCAGATTGGACCCAGTGCTCACTGGATCTCTGATAAATAAGCCAGCCCTGCTCATTTAATGAGAGCTCTGTTGCTTGACATGAGAGACTGGGGCCAATGGTTCTAAAGGAAATCGAGTCGCAAGAAATTCAGGATGGAATATGGGGTTTGGAGAGTTATAATGATGTTCCAGAAGAAGACGACTTAACTATATTTGAATAAATGTAGATTGTTGCACTGTACTTAAAAAAAATAACACATCCACTAAAAATAAGCCTTAGGGTGTCTTCTTGAAAAATAAATATAAGACCCTGTCTTATTTTCGGGGAAACATGGTATATGCCAGAAGTAGAACTTCATTCAACCATTTGAGTCTCTGATATTACTTGCTCCGATGATAAGATTTATTTCTATAACTAATCTCTGGCTGGATTTACTTCTCCCTTTCTCCTTACATATTTCTGCTCCTTTTAAAAAATATTTTAACTTCTAGAGATTTACTCTGCTTTCAGCAATTTTTGTCCATTTACTCTCTTAAATATCCTATTGAAGATTGGTAATATGACTACCACTCTGCATTTATATAGAATTTATAAATTCTAATCTGGGAACTGAAATAAAGACTTTCTGATGTTTGGTAAGATCTTCTGGACTAACTTCTTATTTTTATCTGGAAGTTAGTGGTCCCTGAGAACACTTGAAATTATAAAGAAAATATTGAGTGTATATACATTATTCTTAAAAGAAGTTCCATACTTTTGTCATAACTCACATAGGGCTTTTAAATACAAAAAGTTTAAGAATTAATACTCTGTAAAAATGAGGCTGAACTTCAAATGTAATCTTATAAAAACTGTGGTTACTAATAAAGGTTTTCCAGAAAGGTTCTGTATTGTATGATGTTTTGTGATACCACTTCTGACACCACATGTGTTGTATTTTTTCTTGACACCAACAACCGATTTTCTATCAGTAGCTGAGTGTTTGACAGTTCAATTAAATTATGACATTAACTACCTGGAGTTAGCACAGGACCCACAGGTCAAGGGCTTTCACTTAAGATGCCCGCCACAAATAGGGTACCTAGGCTACCCACACTTTGCCTGGATGACTGCAAATTTGGAGTTTTCTCACAACATTCTCTTCAGGTTTGATAATTTGCTAGAAGGGCTCATAGTACTCAGGGAAGCACTATAACTTACTATTACAGATTTATTGTAAAGGATACCGTTTAGAAACAGGCAAATGGAAGACATATTTTTTTACCTGGAATCTCTCTGAACCTTGATGATTAAGGTGTTTTAAGGTGGTTTCATTATATAGGCATGATTGATTAAATCATTTCCCATTGATGATTGAACTCCATCTCCAGCCCTTCTCCCTTCCCCAGAGGTCTGGAGATAGGGCTGAAAGCTTTAACTATCTAATCCCTTGGTTTTTCTGGTGACCAGCCTCCATCCTGAAGCTGTCTAGGGCCTTTTCTCTCTCTTCCACCCATTGAACCGTCTCGTTGGCATGTTAAAGACAGTAAATTCCAAAGGTTTTAGAAGCTCTAAGCCAGAAACTGGACACAAAGATGAAATATTTATTTGTTATTATTTCTCAGTTGGCTTACTGTATTGCCTCAAATTCTATATAAGTAGTGAATCTTATTAAATATTTTTAGATGTAAACATATGTGACATTAAAATATATATAAATTTTCCTACATTTTTATAAAACATGGGTTAAAATGAACAAAAAAGGCATTGATTTATAATTTTCAATTTTCCTTGTTTCACTGGAAATCTTTTTACTATATATTGTTAGCTTTGGTTAGTTATGGATCTAACAGTTTGGTACTAATCGAAAAGAAATAGTAAATTCACTTGGGAACAATATAATTTATTAGACTTGAATACTTGTACTGTCTTTTTTTTTTTTTAAGTGAGCTATTCTGGAAATTTATTTCTTCCTTTTTGGTATTTATATGCTTGAATGACTGTAAGGCTGGTGGTTCTGGGGAGGGATTTGCCTTTAGGGGACATTTGGCAGCAGTGTCCGATTGTGACAACTAGGGATATATGTGGGCTGATACTGGTATCTAGTGGGTCTGTAGATGCTAGGTATGCTATTAAAAATCCTGTAATCTACAGAATAGCCCCCCAGAACAAAGAATTATCTGCTCCCAAATGCCAATCTTACCAAGGTAGAGGGATCCTGCTGTAGGCCAATTTGGGAATCATCAGTGTTTAGATTGTATTTGAAGCTTTGAAGGTTATGGGGCTGGATAAAGTTTATGGCTGGCTCAACAGCTCTGGAGCCTTATCCACTTAATTGATTCTACCATTTAGACAGATAGAGAAATGCTTCTGATTCCTGTCCCCCAACCATTTATTGAGAGACCAAACTACAACCATCCAAGTTAACTAAATATGTTTGTTAGCTAATATACTATGTGGTTGTGGATAAAATCCAGTAAAACAGTACTGTCTTTTTATAGTCTTGAACTCTTATGGGGGACTTTCTAGACCTCCAATGAAAAATATTTGTATTCAATGTGAAAAGAATTATGGAGATTGGTTGTACAACAGTGTGAATGTACTTAATATTACTGAACTGTACACTTAAATATGATTAAGATGATGAGTTTTATGTTACTTATATGTTACCACAATTAAAAATAATACTTGTATCCACTTCTCCATATTTCCTTACGCAGTGTTCCAGTGTATTTCTCTAAGACTTTTGTTAGATTTCTTGTACTGTTTTTTTCTTGGTCAAGGGAGTTTATGATCTCTCAGGTGGTTTTTCATTCTTTTCCAAATGTTCCTTAATTTTTAAAATGTACAAATTCACCCTTCTCTTAAAAGATTGGACAATACTGGATTGATGTGAATGTATAATATTTGGATGGATTTTAGCTTATAAAAGTTAATTGAAGTATTTCACTGAATTCTCAATTTAGGGAACTATATGTAGTTGTTGTCTGGATATTGAAAAATAATTGTTTAGCTTCAGATGCTTTCTATATAAAGTTTACTCAGGATTTCATGTATTGCTTTCCTTTCTTTCTATTAGGCTTTCAAGGATATGCTGTATTCAGCTCAGGACCAAGCACCTTCTGTGGAAGGTAAGATGAATTAACCCTTAAGTTTAATCACAGAAAACTTTTTTAAGGAAAGATATTTCAAACTGCAGAGTATAAAACTAATATGATAACCTGCCCTATTATATATGTCTTTTTTGCTTTTGATAATATATATTGTGATTATTTTATATTTTAATCCAAAATTTTCCTTTGTCTAGCTCACATTTACCCTATGATGGATCTTTTACTATATCTGTATGTCTCCTTAGTACTGTGAATCACAAATATTGGTTTAGTCAAAGTTTTTCTGTCATGCTTTCCTCCCCCAATGTATTTTTATATCCATCCATCCTTCAGTGAATCCTTAGTCCATAATTAGTTTGAGCAACACAGCTTTTCCTTTCTATTTATGTCATGCCTTTAGAGTGAGACTAATAAAACAATGGAGCATGTTTACTCTGTGTGTGTGCATGCATGTTTATGCATATATGTGCACAGTTTACAGTCATAAAATAACTGACTTGAGGGTAGTAGTTATCTCTCCTATTATCTTTATTGATCTTTTCTGTTACCTCAGCTTCTGCTCGCCAGTTTATTTTTTATGGGGTTAAACTGTGATAAGTTTGGAAAGATACAAGTTAAAGTTGTAGAAGTTCTTACGTTAGTAAATAATTAGGAGCTAATTCCACAGTTATTCTTGAGGGGAATTGTTCCTTCTGAGGCTGGGTGTTATTTTAAAATTTCTCATCAGATTTTTTTAGGAAAGATGAATGTGAAAAAGTATATGCCAAGAATATGCTAGGTTTTTGTGTATAGAGTAATATCTTTATGAGACAGTGATCTAGTATTCTATGAAGTCATTCTAGTGACAAGCTATTTTAGAGGCTTATTTTTATGACATAACAAATGCTGAAGTTTAATAAAAATATAGATCTAATAATTAAAAATCTCATTCTTTAATTATATAGAAATTTACACCTTTCATCTCAAACCATTCTGAGTTAAAAATGCATGTCTTCTCAACATCTCAGAATCTTTTCCCGTACCATTTTAAACTGGTATTGCAAGTTAGGTATTATAAGTTTTATAATATAAAACTGAATTTTGGACTATATTTAATTCTCTAATGTTTAACTGAAGACACTTAAGCATCTTAACATGTTTAATTCTTTATAGCATTATATATATTATGTGCCCTACAGAATACCTTTTTAAACTATTTTAAGAATATAAGAAAAATGAAATTCCATGGAAGTTGAACTGATTCCCTACTATGTATAACTTGCTTTAATATTGGTTCTTTCAATTTTATACTCAAAATGGGGCTACTTATCTTCAATTTTTAGAAAAGTTTTATTATTTGGTTTGTAACAAAGATACTCTGAGATATGTTGAGAAGTTATGATGACATTTATTCATCCCCTCCATGCTGGAGCATGTTCCTAGTAATTTTTTTTTCATTTTCTTTCAGCTGTTACTAGAGGAAAACTGAATTATGTGAAAATATGCTCAAAATGATAAATATTTATGGTTAGGAGCCTTTTCTTTCTCTCATCTGCCATGAGAAGGCATTAACTTCTTTGGACTCTGTTATAGAGAAAGTGTTATATGCTAATCATGCAGTAGCATGTGCTACTTTCACTCATATTTCAGGGGAAATATTCTGCACTCATTCTTTCTTTTTGCTTCATGTAAACATACTCTAAAACCAAGTAGTTTTTATCTTTTTTTTGAGACAGCCTGGTCAACTTGCTTTGTTGCTGAGGCTGGAGTGCAGTGGCATGATCATAACTTGCTGCAGCCTCAAACTCCTGGGTTCAAGCGATCCTTCCGCCTCAGCCGCCCAAGTAGCTGGGAATACAGCACTTGCTTGGCTAATTTTTAAAAAATTTTGTGAGGGCCGGGCCCAGTGGCTCACGCCTGTAATCCAAGCACTCTGGGAGGCCAAGGTGGGAGGATCACTCAAGGTCAGGAGTTCGAAACCAGCCTGAACAAGGGCAAGACCCCGTCTCTACTAAAAATAGAAAGAAAATTAATTGGCCAACTGAAATATTTAGAAAAAATTAGCTGGGCATGGTGGCACATGCCTGTAGTCCCAGCTATCAGGAGGCTGAGGCAGGAGGATTGCTTGAGCCCAGGAGTTTGAGGTTGCTGTGAGCTAGGCTGATGCCATGGCACTCTAGCTGGGGCAACAGAGTGACACTCTGTCTCAAAAAAAAAAAATTTTTTTTTTTTTTGTAGGGATGAGGTCTTACTATGTTGTTCAAGCTGTTATCCAATCCTGGGCTCAAGTGATCCTCTACCTTGCCTCCCAAAGTGCTGTGATTACAGGCATGAGCCACTGCACCCAGCCATTTTTACCTTTTTAAACATAAATTTTTCTCTTTTGAAACACTGCAGAATTGAAGATATTGGAAGGTGATTTAAGGAAACATTCTGTATAATATTGGGGTTAGAAAAAGTTATTAAAGGGACTGTAATTGTTTCACTTGTATTGTGATTTTATATTATTTTAATATCTCTGTATGGTATTAAATTTAAATGATAATTGTTTCCATATCTTATCCTTACTATTCAGTTTTAATTTTTTTTTTTATTTCGGCATATTATGGGGGTACAGATTTTAAGGTTTCAATAAATGCTCATTTCCCCCTCTCCCCCCATTCAGTTTTAATTTTAGTCAGCGGTGATCATGCCACTGTACTCTAGCCTGGGTGACAAAGCAAGACCCTGTCTCAAAAGGGAAAAAAAATATTATACAATACATAGATTTTTTAAAATAATAGCATAAATACTCTAAAATTTTACTGTTTATTTTGTTATCCATTTCTGCAGAAAGACTTGTAGATACATAATACATCACAGATTAGGGGAGTAAATTGACTAAAATTGTGGTTTTTTTTTTAAATAAGGAGAGGTAAACTTATACTTAGAGTCATTAGAGTCAAACTTTCATGGAATAATGTTCTAATTTTGATGAATTTTTGAAAAATGATGCTAAAAACCTTTTAACTATAGTGTGTTTTTACAATTCTGATGTCAGTGAGGATATTTCCTCTTGGGATATATGACAAATTAAGCTGCAAACTAGAGGTTTCTCATCAGTTAACCAGTCACACTTTAATATTCAAGGTTGTTCTGAGGTAAGATAATTTTTTAGAGATAGAAAACAGAACTATTGCAATACTCATTTGACATTAGAAGTGTAAAATTTTCAGTGATAAAGAACAGTGAAAAATATAAATTGATTTTTTACCTTTTCTCATGCTTCTTTTTAAAATGTAGTATCCTTTTTGTATGTTGAAAAAAAATGCAGTATCTTTAAAAGCATTAATGTTTTCCACTCTTTATTTGTGATGGAGAATATGAGAATCTGACAGTCAAACTAAGTCACAAACTAATAAACCACTGAAATTTCTAATTGAAGGAGACATTAGAAGATCATTTTTTTAACCTACATTTTATTTTTTTTGCTATCAGAGACCAAGTTTGCATGGCTCAATAATGACAATCAGGATTACTAGTGCTCTATGTGTCAACAAAAGAGAATTCCAGAGGTTAATACCATAAAAAGACTTTTAAAAATATTGACTTTGCATTTTTCTCCAAATGGCATCTTTTTAAAAAATTTTAATTGGACATTTCCTTGAGTCCCTATATTTTTAAAAGATTTAAGAATTTTTGAAAGTATTACTTTGAATGATATTAAGAGTATCTAACTTGCTGGAAAAAAAAGCTAATTGTATCTTTCAATAAATTTCTCTCTACTAATTTTTTATCACTCCATCTAGTTCCCAGAATTATTGGGGAAGGTTTATAGAAATAGATATGATATATTAGATAACAATAGTTACAGAGCTTAGAATAAAGGAAAAATGGAGATAGAATAGTGAGATAAAGCTAGGGTAAACTTAATTCACAGAACAGATACCATAAGGATCCTGGAACAGAAAAGGAACATCAGGTAAAAACTAAGGAAATCTGGATAAATTGTGAACTTTAGTTAACAATAATATATGATTTTTGGGTAGCAGGAGTGGTGGCTCATGCCTGTAATCCCAACATTTGGGAAGATTGTGTCCTTCAGCCTTCTGAATACCCAATTTAATGTAACCACTCAGTTACTTTATATTGTATCACCCTAGTTTATTTCTTTGCATAGCATTTGTCACTTTCTGATATCTTATAGATTTTTAAATTGGTTTATTAATTCTCTCTTTCTCCTCTCTCTCTCTCTCTGGAGTGAAGACCAGTGATTTTGTCCTTCATTACTGTTTTATATCTGGTATCTAAAATAGGTACGCATCTTACGTATTTACTGAGCACATCAATAAGTAGGAGTAAAAATGAAGCCTTTTCCTCCATCTTCCTTGAAGCCAAATTACTATTTATGAAAAGAAAGAATAAATTAACCTAGCATACTTCTGTGTGTGTGTGTGTGTGTGTGTGTGTTTAATTTTTAAATTTTCCTGATCTGTCACACCTAGATGCAGAATTTTACCTGCTCTTTAGATGGCTAAACATATTGTTAGTTGTTTTACGATGTCAACATTATAATTTCATAAGGTATAGTCTGAGGTGATATATATAATTCTTCAAAATGAGTAGAGAAGCAAATGATATGAGATCCTATTTTTAAACGTTTGGTGTTTTTGTGGCTGTATGTTGTTTTGATGCCAAGCCATGCTGAGAAACCATATTTTATAAACTATTGACAGACTATAACATTTTTTGTAAGACACTAATTAAGCCACTTCTTTCTGTGTTTTTACATGTTTGGTATACCTCCTGTTAAAGACACATGAAATAGGCATAGATTTGAAAGATAATATGTGAGTTGGGGGATTTTTTTCATGTATATTTATGCAGTGGAATATATTTTTTAGACTATTTGAATTAAAAGGGAAAGAGCTACTGCTTGACAGTTTTCCTTTTACATTTTGCATCTCTTGTTATAATGCATTCCTTTTGATGGGGACTATACATAGCTAATGTTAGCTTAATACAACTTTGAGTCAGCTTAATACAGCTATCTGATTTTC